GATGGGTTGTTGTGTTTGACTGGAGCGTATTTTTAAATACAGTGAGTCATTGTTTCCAACTGTTTGACATCATTTATGGAACCCATTCTCTCGCCGCCCCCCCTCCCCAATTTGAAATGAAAGTGGTATTTGAAGTCACGTGCCAGGAAACTCAAGCTCACTGCCAGCAAGTTGATCCGACTCATCCTGAGCCCACAGGACAGGGTAGAACTGCCCCTAGGGGTTTCTGAGACCATCGCTCTTTATGGGAGAAGAAAGTTTTGTCTTTCTCCCAGAGTGGCTGGTGGATTAGAACTTCTGACTTTGGCATGCTGCCACCAGGGATCCTTTTGGTCACACACCAAGTTCCCAAAAATCTATGGTAGGACACTTCTGTGGCCTTAATGTCACGACTTGACCTCTACCTGGGGTGCTTTGTGATTCGGATGTTTTATCAGGGAGACATCTCTCTTCACAGTCTGTCACCTCATCCTTGCAGCAAATGTTGATCAACCACTCAGCACACTTACTCGGCCAAAGGCAAGTTCAAATCATTGGGTCGAGTTGCAAAACAGCAGTGGTTTCACGGAAACTGTGTTGAATTGATAGGTTGATTTGGGGGTAATTGGCACCTGAGCCAAGTGGAGGCCACCCATCTGGAAGCGAGGTATTTCTTCACTTAGGCAAAGCTGTCTTTTCGGTCCAGCAGTGAATGTTCCTCGTTTCCTTCATACACTCCCTGTGAACTTCACTCTTTGTTGTCTGTGTCCATCGCCTTTGGGAGGTGCTGGCTACTGTTATGTTGGAGAATGCTGCATTGGATGGTCTCACTGGACTCTTAAGCTGACAGTGTTTCTGTTGACACAGCATCAGGTTTCTGAATGATACCAGTGTAGTGTTTCCCTGGTAGCTTAGGTGCCCAGGATAGGTGCCTGCTGGGAGAACAGAAGTTCCACATGGGAGTGGCTTTCACAAACAGAAATATATTTTCTCACAGCTTGGGAGGCTTGAAGTCCTGATTCAGGGTGCAAGCTTTTTCTCTTGGTTGACTCCAGAGGTGGGTCCTTGCCTCTTCTTGGCTTCTGCTCTGGGGCAATCTTCCCTGGGCATGACATCTCTCTTCTCTACAGCTGTGCTTCTCTCCTCTGCTCGTTTTAATTTCTCTCCTATCTCAAAAGAGAATGATTCAGAAGACACCCTACATGCATCGTGTTTCGTGTGCACCTAACAAAGGCAGCTCATTCCCAAAAGGGATTACAACCACAGGCAGAGGGGTTAGGATTTAGAGTGCCTATCTTGAGGGGACATCATTCAACCCATAATCCTGTAGTGTCTGCACGTCTCCAGATAAAGTTTAGACCCTTTCTAGGGCACTCATTCTTCCTGGCCTCGCCCCGGACTAGCATCCTGCCGTGTTCCCACCATGTTCTCTCCTCTCCAGAAACAAGCCTTCTTTAGACACTCCGGGGTTCCCCCTGAGGGCTGTAAGGAGCTCTGGTGAAACTGTGGGTTAAGCATTGGGCTGCTCACCTCAAAGTCGGTGGTTCGAACCCACCCGGCCAGTTGCTCCTCAGGAGAAAGAAGAGGTTGTCTGCTCCCGTTAAGGATGTGCTGGGTCAACCTTTTAGCTTGGGTCAATGAGTCAGAGTCAACTAGCGGTCGTTGGAGGTTTTTCTTGGTTTCGACAGACTGTGCAGTTTCACACCTTCATTCCTTTGCAGGTGTTGTTCCTTCTGCTGGGAATTCCACCCCTCCCCCATCTCCTCTCCCTTTCCTGCTTCGAGGTGTATCTTATCTATACTTAAGGTGTCCTTTCTCAACTGGCAAGAGGGGCCCACTTCCTTTCTTTTGCAGTGACTCTATGCTTTAAAAAAAGCAACAGCTGGGGCTTAATTCTTTGCTGCTCTGTGTGTGGGCGCCAGGCTTCTCTCTGGACCCTAACAAGCTACACAGGTCTGGAACATGCCAGTTTTCTGGGGGTGACGGCCCTGGCGCCGAACTTCACAGTTTCCAACTGATGACCTTTCGGTTAGCAACCCCACTAACCCACTATGCGCCACCAGGCTCCTCAGTGAACACAGTAAAAGCCCACCGATAAGATGAGACACGGCCAGAATTCCATCAGCAACTTTCAACATGTGAGTGGCTTTTTTTTTTTTTTTTTAAGATTTAAACGTCCAGTTTCCAGTTGCAAATTTGTGAGTATCCTGAAAAAGGTCTCGATAGCCCTCACCCCCCATGCACGTCTGAAGGTCCTGCCTGACAGTAGTGGCCTTCAAGGCCAGCAGATGGGAAGGCAGGTGTCCCACCCTAGCGACTTCCCCATCTGCCTCCCACAATCACTCTGTGTCACCTACATGGTCCTGCCCCTCCACCATTAGGCGGATATTTTTCTCTATCCCAGGTGGCCTGCGGCTCACGTGACTGGGGCCCCAAAGAGGCCAGTCCACGTGGCAGCTCCTTTCTTTCTAATGCAGGGTCCATCTTCCAGTCTCGGAGCCCCCTCCCTTCCCCCCATCCCGCCCCAATAGTCTCAGGAGCCCTGCGGGGATCCCTAAAGGCGCCTCGGTCTCTCCGGGAGCCCCGCCCCCCGCCTTTGTTGTCATAGAGGCAAAGGAGCCATGTTGGCTCCGGCGGGAGAAGGGGGGTAGGGCGGGGCGGGGGCAGATGCAAACTTGTGGTGGGCCCACACCCCTCCGTTCGCTCCCCGGGGACTTGGCAGATGGGGAAGTGAGCCCGTTGCAAACCCCATCTCTGACTCACTCGGCCTCCCCCCGCTCCCCACTTTCCCAACTTGCAAAACGAGCTCATGACTTCAGGGTGTTGTAACTGCGTGTGCCGTGCGCTGATTTTGAACAGGCCCTGGGCCAAGCACCTGGGGTTCCGCTTTGGGGATCTGGGAATCCCGGGGGCGCTTCCCGCCGGGCCCGGGCCCAGGCCGCCACTAGAGTCGGTGCCCGGGCCTGGACGACCCGCTGCGGCCCCTGCTTCGCTCACAGCCCCCCAAACGGGCCGCAGAGGCACCCAGGGCGTCTTCCCGCGCCCCCAAGAGCGCCCCGGGCCTGCTCGGCTGGCC